GTCTCACTGTATAATCTAATTCTAACTACATGTATTTGTTTACGGTATTTTTGGAGGCAATTAATTGATTGTATACTTATTTATGTATTTGAACTGAGAGAGCTTCCTGGAGGGGAAGCGAAACGTCTTCAAATCTTGGAAACCAAGTCCAGTGGATTGTTTTTTTTATTTTTTTAAACTTTTACGGAAAAAGTATTGAGTATTTATTTATTTATGTAATTATTTTTAAATATGACACAAGTGGTCCTCCATAAATTCTTGTTCTTTTAAAGCCTGCTTTGAATTTGAAGCCACGCCCCCTTGCGTGTCGAGCCCCCGGAAGTGGGAGGCTGCAGCTCAAGCTGCGGCTGGTGCTGACCTCTGCCTGTCGCAGGGGGAAAATGAGGCTCCGCATGGAAAATCAACTGGGAAGTCTGGAAGAACTGCGCGGCTTGGAGCTAAAACAGCTCAAGTGAAGCTTATGAGAGAGACAACCACCCAGGCCTTCTCTAGAAACCTCCGTAACTTAACTTTAACGCCGTTATTAAACGTTGATTAAACATATTTAGCAGGATAATGTCTCCTATTTCGCTCCAGCTGTTGGTTAGCCGTTAGCTTCCCTCCGCGTTGTGTCCATTGTTGCTCCGGTTAGCGGATGTTTTTCAGCATCTGTCAGCGGTTCATTCACCAGGACAGCCGGATGTCTGTTGGGAGGCTGAGGGAACAATGCTGAGATTCCTCCGTGTCATTTTAACAGGTAAGGTAGCTTTGCTAGGTAGCACTGTGTCGCTCCCTATATTCGTTTTTACATGATTATGCAACACGATTAGCAGCTAACATTTGGGTTTTAACTTTCTGTTAGATGTAGAAGGACTTTAAAATATTTTTATAGCTGTTTCTGCAATATAATAAAGTTGAGGGAAAATGTTACTAACCCCACCTGATCTAAATGTGCTAGTTTGTTTATTCGTGGAAATTATAATTATCCTAGTTGGTATTAAAAAACTGACCAATTTACATTAAGGCATTAGCTTTGTGTGCATATGGCAACAGTGGGAAGGAACATCTCCTTTTCCACTCAAACCTGGCTCAGTGACTTACACATTTCGTTTTGTACAGCTCTCATTGCATTTCCAGTTTCTTAAAGTGCGGCAGTGATCAAATGTAAACATTGTGGGGAAAAAAACATGCATTGACCTGATCAGTTTGGTGCAGTGTGAGTGGATATGTGCATTTGCTGAATCAAAAACCTCATTGTGCTAAATGCTCACATTGATTAAACTAAAACAAATCAGACTGGTGTGAAAAGTTGGGTTGATATTAAGTATATCTTAAGGTTGTTGGTTCTATTCCTCCTGTCACAGGCCTCTCAGCAGGGCACTTCACCCTATGTTCCCTGCCAAATTTGCATTCCAGCATATGGGTATTATTGGCTCAATCTGGTTTGTGTTATCAGTATGATTTAAAAACATTGGAAATTTAGTTTACCACTTGTAAATAACTTAATTACTTATCAGAGGATAATAGTCTGAAAATAAATGACCAAATCTGTTTTCAATAGTTTTACAGATAAATCTATTACTGCTTGTTTTTTTTTTTCCCTCACAGGCCTTTTGGCTGCTCTGTGCAATGGAGTAGGAGCTTTCGGGGTTGGTGCATATGGTGAGTGTTGGATTGACGCTAAAGACTTCATCCACTTCCTTTGTTGCTGCTCTTGTCTATTCTCGTTTTCTCTTTGATCCACAGGTGGGGTGAGAGTAGTGAACGGGGATGATCACTGTTCTGGTAGAGTCGAAGTAAACCTTCATGACAGCTGGGGGACTATTTGCGACCGTGACTGGAATTTGCAGGCAGCTAGTGTGGTTTGCTCGGAGCTGGGTTGTGGTTTCGTCGAATCTGCTGTTCGCGGTAGCGGGTTTGGCCCAGGCAGTGGAAACATTGCCCTGGTCTCTGTTCATTGCAAAGGACATGAATCCAGTTTGATCCATTGTGATGCCTTTATTAACACAAACGCCTTCATTTGCACCCATCAGAATGATGCTGGTGTGAAATGCTCAGGTGAGATAGCCGGGAAAGCCGGATAGAATTACACAGAGCGTAATTCAGTCTGCTAAACCACTGTTGACACAGTGCGGGAGGCGTGACATTTGTCTTTTAAGCATCGTTTATAAACACCTGGATTCCACTGTAAGCATCTGAAACGTGCCCCTGTTTTCCTCTCAGGTAGTCTAATGGAGCCCAGGCTCACAGTGCTGTCGCCTCATCATGTGTTCTCTGTGGGGGAGTCCGTTTACTTTTACTGCACCATCCAACCTCGTAACCGCGTCAGCAACGTCCATCTTTACAAGCATGGAGTCGATACGCCACTGGTCACACAGAGCGCTGACCCGACGCAGATCGGAGTGAGCCTCGTTCTATCTGATGTGGAAACCTATCAGCAAGGCAGCTACAGCTGCCAGTACAACATAAAGGGGGGTTTCCCTCCCCACCTGATCACATCTCCACCCAGCCATCCTGTCAATATCACTGTGGGTGAGTGGGAATCTGTCTTACTTGTATAAGTATTTGATCACTATTTGTTTTTATGCTCTTCTTGCTTTGGAAGTTTTTCCACATTTTCTTCTTTAATGTTAAAAAAACATAAACAGGGAAATGGGATCCAGCTGTTTTCAGTTTAGTGTCACTATAATTATGGATGTTCTGTGAAAGGGAGAGATTTATTGGAGAGCAAGGAACACAGCAGGGAGATAGAGGATGAAAGTAGTCTAAAGCAGGGTGGTGTTGGACAACGATCTCCTTTAAATATCTCTGATTGATCCATCATCTATTAAGGGAAAGAGTATGACTCATGTGGTTACCATGAAGTTGCTGTTCACACAATAAGAATGTAAGTTAGTATAACTGGTTAGTTATTTATAGTGAACTTAATGAATGTAGTGTTATTAGAGGAGTCCTTAGTTGGGCCGTGTTAAAGAAATCTATTTTTTTTCCAATTCTGAGTTGATTTTCCTACTAATTCCTAAAGATTGATTAATACTGTTAAAGATTGATTAAAAAATACTTTCCTTTGGCTACAATTACTTTATTAATTTTTCTGTTGATGGTGAATATAATACTACTATCAATATGCTAACATAACAACACAAAAGGGCTGCAGCCATCTTTTGATTATTTTCTTTAATTAATCAGTTGGTCTCAAATGTGCGGAAGAGGATTAGGGCCAGTGGAAAAAAAAGTTAACTGATTTTTAAATTTTATTTCAGTTTAGTATGGGAAAAAAGTCAGAATTCTGACTTTTTTCTCAGAATTCTGACTTTTTTCCCCATACTAAACTGAAATAAAATTTAAAAATCAGTTAACTTTTTTTTTTTTTCAGTGGCCCTAATCCTGTTCCGTACAAAGGGTATACTTTTAGTAAGTTAACATTTCTAAATAAATCAACGTTTGAAACAAAAAAAAACTTTGTTGTGAATTTTAGTCATTAAGTAAACGCACATGTTAATTTAAATGTATTAATGAAATTTATATTTTTAATCTTAAATGGAAAATGTTTTCATTTTTTGTAGAGTTTTGTCTTGATTACTGCTGCAAGTAAGTGATTATTTTAGGAAATAGCATACCTAAGAATCTGTGTGGCATTACTAACCATTTACTTTGATTATCAAATTAGTTGATGACTATTTAACCCCTTGAAGCCTGAATTGATATACATGTATATATAAAAAGACATTTTGTGTGTGTTTTTCTCCTTCATTGAGATGCCAGATTAAAATAGTTCATGTTACTAAATAAATAGAAATGAAGGTAAAATATATTTTGTAACAACAGTTATAACTACATAATTACATATGCTGTGACTAGCACTGCACTGATGCAAAAACTCTATGGCGGCTGTTTGCCAGTAAAATCAGTAAAACTGTCTTAAAATAAGTGTATTTACCCTTAATCTGACTAGGGAAATAAGATGATCAGCCAATGGAAATAAGATAATTAGATATTATGCATTTGAAATAAGAGACTGCAGTTGTTGTTTTTTTCTTTTTTTAAATGTACATTCTCTTGTTCCATTGGCAAAGAGTCTCACTTACCTGCTCAATTCAAGAACAAATGCTCTTATTTTAAGAAAAATTGTCTTACTTAGATTTAGATTTTTTGCAGTGTAATATATAAGTGGTTTGTTGCTTATCAGCAACAACACGCATCAAAGGGTTGAAAACTTTAATAATCTCGATTTATCTGAAAAAAAAAGGTTCAGCTCTACCTAGTGGTGTAATCCAGGCTAAAAAGATATATCATTATATTTTAATATTAGCTATTGGATTTGAGGTCAGATCAGATCCATTTTCTGAATCTAGAGAATTTGAATTGAATCAATTCTTGACATTTGAATTGCTACCCGGCCCTAGTACTAGGTCAGAAAGACAAGATCAACGTAAAAAGGTGGCAGAATGTTATGTGAGGCAGCTCAATTGTACAACACATCACCCTGCATGTGATCTCTTCATGTGAAGCAAGGCGGTGGCAGCATCATGCTGTGGTGCTGCTGTTCATTAGCAGCGATATAGGAGCTGGTTAAAGTTGATGGGAAGAGACATTAGGTCAAATACGGGGTATACAGGGACAGAGGTTTCCCTTTCAGATGGATGACAAACAAAAACATTAAGCTAAACTATCACAGCAAATTTTTAAATTAAGCCTGATGTCCCTGCAGGCTGGGATGTTGACTTTTGTGGTTCAGTAATAATGAGTACTTCTCTAAGATTGGTAGTTAACTAGTTTGTAGTTCCAACTACTTATATATTTTTCATAAAAGTTTCTGGTTTGTTTGTCATTTATCTAATTTCTGCTGTTTTGTTTGATCAATCTCTTTTTTTAATCTTTTGCAGTTGACCTCCTGACTCCCCAGCACTGGTACAACACTTCCTCTGAGGCCCCGCCAGGCTCTGTCATCAAAGGCGAGAGTTTTAATATTACTTGTTCCACCCCCCGACAGTACCCTGGCGCTTCCTTCCAGCTCCGATTGGTCCGCTCCAACGGCACGGTCCGGCAGTCACTCCCAGCTGCCTCCCAGTCTGTTACTTTCACCTTCCCCAACGCCCAGAGCTCCAACGAGGGGTACTATTACTGCCTGTATCGGGTCCAGCTGGGCGGACGTACGTTTGTCTCCAGAGAAAGCCAGCCTCTACCTATAGCAGTTAAAGGTGAGGCAGTGTTAAATTGTCTAGATGGGATTCTGGGTGTTCAGAATAAAGTTTGGGCCTGACTCCTCCTACTTTCAGATCCAGACCCGCTCCTAAGCCCCATGGTGATCAGCTGGCTTGTGTCTGGGGTGACTTTTGTCGTAGCTGTCATCATTATTTTAGCCGTGGCGAAGGTTTCGTGTAACAAGGAGAAGAAGCCCTCTGAGTTAGAGCGGGACACCAGAACCTGTGAGTTAATCTCTGTCATCAAGGCTCTAGAACTCCTCCTGTGGGTCCAATTAGACTTACACATGTTCTTCTCTTCACAGGTGTGGACAACACTTACGTTGCCTTATCAGTAGATAAGCTATGACGGAGTCTGCAGGTAACCCATAGTTCTCTGCTTAAGTGCAACCTTTGAACTCCTAGAGAAGATTTGTTAATTTTTCATTTTAGCTTTAAATTATTACATTTTACAGCTGAAAATTAAATCCACCATATAATAAACAGAGTGTCTGACTTTAAAACACTTTTCTTTTTCTTTTTGACACCCTTTTTATCCTGTTGTAGCTTTTAATAAAGCAATTAGCTAATGGTTGCTGCAGGTCAGGCTCTGCAGGATAATCCCAAATGCTGTCAAACGAGCAGCAGGATGAGATTCACATGGGTGATTTCCATTTCATTAAAATCTTGAGTTTCAAAGGGCACCAGCAGATAATGATCATTTATTATAATTTCTATTGAAGGGGAAGAATGATATCTATTGATCTGATTTGACTTTTTTATGGGATTTTTTTTTTTTATGAAGGAACAAATAGTAATAAAATATTATTTGATTTTAATTCATTTAAGCTATTTTATCGTTATACACAGGTCTAGAGGGTGCTCCTGTGATTCAATCTCTCAGTGGTGCAACTACAAAAAGAAGATAAAATCTGAATTAGCAGAATTGAAAGAATGTGGATAAAGATGTTTTGTTGGGCTGAGTTATGAGTAGGATAGCTGGAGTTGAATACAATACAATCCTGGTGGAAAAGCTGGAGACTGTGACAGGCAGCCCGGGCCACAGCCGGCTACGCTCTACCCCTTCTATTCATTCGGCGAGCTAATCTGAATCGTTCCATTCCTTTTTGAGAGCGAGATCATCTGTGGTAGTAGCACTAGACATCTTCCAGGCATGTGAATAAAACTAGCAGCAGTTCAGCGGACAGGATGAACGAACGGTAGCCGGCATGTGCGGATGACGTCATACAAGCGCCGCTTCATTTTTACAAGATATAAATATAAAAAATATAACCACGGATGTCTGGGGGACAGTGATTCGCTTACATGTTATGAATGCTGGCGTACAATAAAGAATAAATTATGAACAGTTCAGTTTGTGCCTTCAAGTCGTTGCCCATAGGAAGACGTTACTTGGATATAACCTAACGGAATATCATCAGAACAGCTCCAAATGACACAAAACTCCTATGGGTGACTAGAACATGATGTAATAACGTAAAATCAAAGGGCCCAATGTAAAAGAAAAAACAAAACAAAAACAGCATTTCCCTTTAAGGTCCAAATCTAAAATTCAAAGTATTCTAATGCTAGTTTCCAAAGAGCGTTGCGCAAAAATATGAGTGGGTTGATTTGCAAAGCTGGTGGAGACATAACCACGATTTTTGCAGGTGTAATTTTAGTAAATGGTTATTGTAGAAAATCTTGATTAAACAGGGCTAAATACAATGTACATTTTAAATGCAACAACCAGAAGTCAAACCGGGGTTCATATTCATTCCGTAGTATGACCCATGACTCTATCCATAAAATCCAAGCAAAAAGAAGGTTGCATGTCTTAAATGAAAAGGTTCAGCTGATATTTTTAAAGCACTTGTTACTTTATTTATACCTTCATTGCGCTAATCAGATTCTCCTCTTATTATTATTTTAAGCAGATTTAAAGGTGTGGACATCATGAGGCATCAAACCATCTCCAGGTATATTTGAACTGCAGCAGATATGCATCAGAAGCCAGAAACCTGCTAATCACCAGCTACTGATGGTTGCTGGAGCCATTTTACGACAGTCTGGATGAGACAGACTCTTATTCAACACTACAGCGACACTTTATGAGACTGCATTGGCTTTGCATCCTTATGGGAAAACATCATAGGTGATATTCCACACCATGCGATCATAATGGGTTTTTTTTATAGTAAACATACTGTACTTTTAACATGTCTAAGTTTATTTTTTCTGGTTTCTCTCTGTATGCATTACTTATGTTGTTACTAACACCAGGACCCCGTTTCAGAAAGTGGGATAAGTGAGAACTCAGAATAGGTTATGGGGTAAATCACTGGATTTTTATTTGTTTGTTTCAAAAAGCCACATAGCCGGTTATCCAGTTACTTCGTGAACCAACTCTAGTTGGGATTTAGATTTCTTGAAATCATCTTGAGTCTGTCACACATTTGAGCTGAGATTAAAAACATTTGTCTGATGTTGGAGAGCAAAGACTCTTTATCCTCCACATATTTAGAATTTTACATACGGATTCATAGATTTTTCTTTAGCATCACGGTTTTCACCAGAGTCAGTAATTAGTCTTGATAAAATTAAAAACAAGTACTCTGTGCTGCACTTAGTGTCAGCTCAATCTGCCATCGGATCGAAAACAATTAATAAATAGTGTCATGTAGTACTCATTTAGTCTTTTTCACCTAAATAGTTTTAGTTTTGATCAGTCCTTATTTATAAATGAGTTTTGCTGACAGAAAAGCTTGAAAAATTTAGCGTTGTATAATAAGTTTATTACACCTCAACAACAAAGTTTTCTGTTTCCTTGTTTTAAATCCACAAGATAGAAAAGATAAAAATTCTACAGCTATCAGTGAAAATATTATAGCTGTTATCACATTTTGAGATTTCAAACAATATACATTTTTGTATTTCAGGGTTTCCAGGCCTAAGTGGTAGCATATATGGTGTTCTCTTTCATTAAACACATTTACTTGTAAATACACCTCGTCCAGCTGTTTCATAGGAAGTGACAGAAACAAATCTTAGTATCAGCTGAATGTTTGCTATTTTTCATATTAACTCATGAACCACGGTTTAACTACATACATATTAATTTTACTTTGCGTGTAAAACTGGGGGCTGCACTGTAGAGCAGTGGGTAGCACCAGGTTTGATTCCCGACCGAGGTCTTTTTGCATGGAGTTTGCATGTTCTCCCTGAGGATGTGTGGGTTCTCTCCAGGTACTCCGGCTTCCTCCCACAGTCCAAAAACATGACGGTTAGGTTAATTGGCTTCTCTAAATTCTCCTTAGGTGTGCGTGTGTGTGTGAATGGTTGTTTGTCTCTGTGTTGCCCTGCGATGGACTGGCGACCTGTCCATGGTGTACCCCGCCTCTCGCCCATTGACTGCTGGAGATAAGCACCAGCACCCCTCATGGCCCCAGCAGGGATAAGCACGACAGGCTGATAACTGAACCATCCCTTATTTAAATTGATCTTGATTTAGTACTAAATCCTTTTAGTACCTGCTGGTTTAAAGCTAAACATATTTCACACACAGAGAATTACATTCTTTTTTAATGTTAAATTAAAAGTAGGGTTAAGTAGAAAACTTAATTCTCTATCAACCACTAATGCACCAACTGATCTCTGCAGAGTTACATCTTGAGGCTTATTTCCTCCGTTGCTATGGTGGATTATATTTTCTGCACTCCATTCATGGCTTCAAATTATGCCCCTGTTTACCCTGAACTGACATCACTCTTGAATATCACAAATTCAAATTAGTTGCTTGTAAGATAACTGCACACTACTCAGAATAGTTTCATCTCACTTTCTGAAACAAGGAGCTGGTGAACATTTTATCAGCAGTATCTACGCACTTATTCTCAGAACAATAACTATTATAAAATGTATTTCAAGACTAACACTTCTATGCATCTTTTCTCTTTTCCATAATGCACTTGTTTTTTTTTAAATAGAATCTATAGTTGATTAAAATAAAGTGAGAACTTTGTGTTAGACAATGGAAACAAGTTACTGATGGTACTTTTCTTTGGACCAGACTACAACACAAGGCTGCTAGGTGCCTCGTTTGGTAGCCTGCTATTTTTTTTTTGTATGAGTTATCCAAGTCTAAGGCACCTTTGTTCCTGAATAAAAGACTTAAAACTTTAAATTCTTACATTACAAGCTCTTTATTATATTTATTTATGAAAACCAAGTACAAAACAAATTACATCCTCTGAATATGTGGAGAATGTAGTATAAAAGTGCTGCACCTCTGTGAAAAGCATAAACTTTAAAGCATCACAGAATTTTTTTTACTTCGAAAAACCTTTCGTGTGTCGAACACTGAATGCAATTTACAATTTCGTCAGAATCGATATTAAAATGTAGAGGCACTTGAATTTAAGTCTTTCCCAAATATATATTAATGGTAATCGTCAGCAAAAAGGAGGCAATGTTGCTGCTTAAAATATTAAAATTTAATGCAATTCAGAAGAATAAACAAATCCGAATTCAGAAAAGGTTTTTGGAAAAAAAAAAAATTTGCTTTTAGTAAAATTTTCTACCCATTACTTTAGTGTGCAGACATTTCCCTGGGAGTTCAGATGTTACACAGATGGGATCCTCTGGCTTCTACTAGAACTGGGATTTCTTTTTAAGGATTGAAATATCCATTTAGATCAAAACACAACATTTTAATAACACAATAAAAATTCTACTTTTTCCAAATCCATAACATTGGTAAAAATGCATTTCCTTCTTCTAGGCCAAAATGGCAGGAGGACTTGGAGTGCATCAGACAACCCTACAATTATGTGATTAATGGAGAGCTGCTATCCAAATACAAAAAAAAAAAAAAAACTTAGCTTGCTTTGTTCTGCAGTTTGACTCACAGGCGTTTTGTAGTGAATCAAGGAGGTTGTATTTTGCCCTTACATGTAGAGTCATGCAAAAAAGAACGGACATTCCTATTAAATCAACAGCTTTTTTTGTTTTCTCTCCATGTTAGCCTTATTTTTTGACTCAACATGGCAGAGACAGGTTTTGTACTCTTGAAGTTACATAAAAAACTATATGGTTTTTAAGGTAAAACCTAAATTTAACAGGGTGTACTTTTTTAGCAATAATTGCAGCTTAGGTGCAAACAAACTTTAGCTTACAAAAAGAAAAAAGAAGACAAATATTGCATCAACCACAATTTAGGCAGTCTGAATTTCCAAGATACATTTACCCATTTTTAAATGCAAATTAAGTATACCATCCCTATACATCCAACCAAAAAAAAAGAGAAAAAAATCACACTATTCCTTTGATTGATTCGTTTGTCTCCATGCTGGAGAAGACCAAGTAGAGGAAGACTGCCAGACCCAGGAAGAAGATGAGCTGAAGCCACAATGGGATGAGACGGGACGACTGGGCCTTTGGTACCTCCGACTTACTGGCTGTGGATTTTAAGTAGGAGTTACTGTAGGTGGACGGTGTGTCATACATGTTGTGCCTGAAACAACAAGTCAGGATATGGATGATAATTCCTCATGTATCGACTTGAACCTAAAAAGATAACAATTTAGTCTACAACACTCAGATTCATTCAGATTTGAATTAGTCCACAATTATGTCACATTAATCAGCCAAATTAAAAGTTAGGCATACTACAGCATTCTTTATTTTACCATTATAGCAGAGGCACTCAAGTCGACTTCTCAAGAGCTGCCCTCCTGTAACATTTAAATGCAGCTCTTCTCTAAGGCTACGTTCACACAGCTGCCTGAAATGACCCAAATACGATTTTTTTTCCCCAAAAGCCAACCGGAACCGAACCTTTTTTATGGCAGTCTGAACAACACAGATCTGACTTTTTCCAGTGCGACCGAGGCCACTTGTCTATGTGGTCCTGAATCCCATATGAATCTGGATCTTTTTAAATGCGACCTGTGTCTGAACGGCCAGGTCGCATTCATCCGACCTGAACGCCATTAATACTCAACAAAGGTCACTATTCTGCATCTTGCTACGCAGAAGCGGCTAGAAAAACAACAACCATGGTGGATGATAATGCGGAGAGTAGTATTTATGTTTAACCATATTGAAAAGATTGATTTTTTTTTAAGGTTGGGAAAGATGGCTAGAAGTGCTCCAGAGCTCCCATCCATGTTTACTTCCGTAAACACAGAGCACGCTTGCTTGTGACGTCATTTCGCTCTCTACTATGCATGCGGGAAACTTGTGTTGTATGAATGCAGTTCAATCAGGAGATTACATATAAGTCGCATATATTTGCAAATGTGAACGGCAACGCAAAAAATAAAACATAAAATTTTTCACAAAAAATCTGAATTGAGCATTAAGGCCTGCAGTGTGAATCTAAAGGCTTAGTCCCCTCATTTAGCTCAGCAGAGGCATGGTAACAAGCCACTCGTTTGATTCAGGTGTGTTAAAAATGGGCCGCAACAAAAAGTTCAAAGGATAGTAGCTCTTGACGACTGTACTTTTGCACCTCTGAATTTACGTAATAAAACAGTAAGTAACTAAAACTACCAACTAACTACCAAGTAACTACATGAATGCATTTGTTGAGGCATTTGAAAACAGCAATCAGCTAATGCCCCCATCTCTGAACGCATCCTAAACGCTACCAGACTGAAAACGGAAGCCCTTTGTACGAGTAAAGATGTAGAGTGAATTAAACTTGGATGTTCAGTGAGAAATAGAATTAAAAAATAAAATTTGCAGATGCAAATATAAGTGGCTAATAGCTAGTGTATACTAGGGTTGTCACAATACTAAACTTTTCAACTCGATACGATACTAAGTAAAATATTTGATACTCGATACCCTTTTCGATACCACAACAATAAAAACAAAGACTCTAAAGTTCAACAGAAATATTTTCATTACTAAAAAAATACAATAAATAAAAAAACAATAAGAATAATATTTTGAGGTTGTATGCTGTGCACAATATTAAGCAAGCTTGGTAAAAAACTTACAAAATTAAAATTAAGTGTTCCTTCCTTGGCTATGCTTTGCAGACATAACAATGACACTAGCCAAACCGGTTAAACAAAAATAATTCTCAACAGCTGCACCTGTTACAAAAAAAGTCTGAAACTGAAAGATGCACAGAATTATTAAATCACAGTGTTCAGAAAGTGCATTTTCCACTATTCTGCACTTTAGATGGCTGTATCGATACTTTTAAAAACGAGTATTGTATCCGGATACAACGTTTCAGTATCGATACTTTTGACAACCCTAGTGTATACTAAAAAAAATGTTGTTAAGTATACACTCTGTGTATACAAAATGACAATAAAAGTTGTCGAAGCCTAAGCTACAGCGATATAAGTAGCCACTTAAAAGCAAGATGGTTTTCTATAATTGAGACAATTCTGCTGAGCCTGCAGGAGAACCTGACTTTAGGCTCAAAAGAAACATCAGCAGAGCTACTTTGTTTGATCCTTTTGAAATTGGGTTGCAGAAGCTATATTAGATAAAGAAGTAAAACTGATATGTCTACCCCCAAAAATAAAGGTAGATTTCATAATGTCTTTATATAACCTGCATTTACAGTAGACTGATTTTTTTTAAACTTTTGGGTTGATATAGATTTGGCAAAAACTGGCCATGTTCCACAAACCGAAAACAGGAAGCCGGTTTCTGCATCTTGTCTCACTATTTGAGGAACCTATGTAATAAGATTTAACTTCTAGGGTAATATTGGAAGAATCTAATGGAGGTTAGCAGAAGGAGATGCTACACTTGACACTAAATCATTTTTCACAGATACTTACGTATAACCTCTTTCTCTGTATTCAGGTTTTGACTTCGAGTAGCTGGAGTAGGACCTGCAGACAATCATATGACAGTGTAGCTGTAGACAGAGATTTTCGTTATAATATAACCTTTTAATTTCAAGAACTGAATTATAACTTACTCGTTTTGATATTCCCTCTCACTCCATTCTGTCTTGGATCTCATATAGGGCTCCCTACAACAATAAGACACTCTGGTTTATGATTGCTTTCATTAAGTAAATACAGTGTGGAAATAAAACAAAGAAACTGACCCTTCCTCATACATCTCACTTCTGGGCTGAAAGGAGAGAGAGAAAGTTAAACACATGTAGTGCCATCTACACTATAAGCTGTTTCTACTTTTAGTTCATTTGTTTAGGATTTATTTTTAAAATAAAGATAACATTGAATCATTTTAGTCAAGACAAATATTAAAAAATTTGACTGTAGTGAAGTAAAGTGAAGTAAATATCACTTTGCAGGATCCAGGCCTAACTTTGATAAACACAAACCCTTAAGTAGAGCTTAAAGATACTTACTGGTGTCCTGTAAACATAGGTGACCTCCTCTTCTGTAATAAAAAACAAAGATCATATTAAATTTAAAGCTCCAGCGCATCCATAACATTCCTGCAAATACAGCCTGCTGTCTGGCAGCAGCTCTTCCACTCAGATCTGCTACTCTTAAAGTATGAACGGTCATTTAAACATTTTAATTAAGTGCTGACCAACCAATTCTAATTCAAGTTCCTTACAGTTACATTTAGGACTCCAAAGACCTTTAAATGACCAATTAAATATTAAAATAATTTGTATTTGACTTATTTCTGAATTATTTCTGAACGGTATCAGTTATGCTACTAAGTTGATGTTTTTTTTTTTTTTTAAATAAGACACTTTTAAGAACAGAAATTTGAATTAAAAAATAAAAAATAATGTATTACGTGAGCATACGTACAAATTTAGGATGTAACAGAATATAATTAAGGACCTAGTGTATAGGAATATTCAGACATTTTAAGGCCTTGCAGGTCCCATATTATGCAAAATTCACTTAACATTTTCCAACAGCCATATTGGTCCAGAAGCCTGTGCATGAGGTTCAAAAAATGAACCTGATACTCAGGCTAAACCTGCCCTCTAGCATCTTAGCTAACACATTTCTCTGCTAAGCTACGCCAAGCACAGCAGCTGCACTGTTAATAGCTGCATTGAGACAAAAGTCTTCTTTTTTTTCCCTCAGCCTGTAAATATCTTAGCACTGCAGATAATGTTTGTGGCATCGGCTGTTTTGATAAGTTTTTTATAAGATGGATAATCTCTGTTCTTCACAGAGAGACTTTTCTTAACATCTGCAGTAACTCTGATTGTGTGCTTGTGTTAAATCCCTTTTTTACTAGCAGCTCTGTTGGTCCATTAGAGCAGATAGAGGCCACAGCAGTTCAGGCTAACTGACTACTGGGTGTATTGTTTGTTTATTAAAAGGTTGTTTACAGTTTACGGTTTCCAGCCTTCCCTTGGAAAACAGGCTTAGAATAAACTCTCTGGGTTCTGTACTGAGATTATTAGAGCGACATTTTTCCATATTTCTAATTGAATAAAAAATCTGGATTATTGTCTTTAACAAAATAAATAAATGGCATTGAGCAGGTATATGGTCAAGCTGCTCCTGTTATAGACTTTAGACAGATTTTATTTGTCATTTTGTTTACACAAGTGTAAAACAAAAAGTAATTTCGTTTGGAAACAGCGCACTGGACAATTTTATCTTTTTATAAGTGCAGCGTTGAAAAATAGTAAAAATGACTGTAAATTTACAGTCCTAACATTTTTTTGTTATGTATTGTCATCACTAATACGCCTCTCAGAGCGGTCTGTTACAGCCTATCGTTAAGGTCGGCCTTTTTCTTCCGTCATATTTGCTCTCCTAGCCGCCATCATTATGAACTCTGACTGGCAGTCATGGTTGTGGGGGGCGCTGCCTTCGGGAGAGCGAGGGTTTGGAAAACAAAACAGCTCATTTAGAAGAGGGCTGAATGAGGTGGTTTGCTGCTAGATGCTAGCTGTGTTCACTTTCAGCGGCTGCATCCTTTAAGGACCCAGCCTACCTGGACTGGCTCCTTCGAAGGAAGTTAAAAGAAAATGGCTGGAAGAGTTTGGTTATATATTGGAACGGGTCCAGCCTGCATTGGTCGGCCTTCAAATGTGAACAGACCACTGCAGCGCAACGATGTAATAGGCTGCAGATCTGGCCTTCGGAGGACACAGCCGCTGAATTGGAACACAGCTGCTATCTGAGAGGATTTTTCCTGATCAAACAGTAAAAACATGCTCTGGAAGGCTCATCGTTAATAACAGTAGAACATGACACCTTTAAATCAACAGAATTAAGTTTAACGCCACCTGAAAAAATCCAACAAAAAATGAAAGCTCATCCAAGGTCACATATTGGACAGACAGTAACAAAAAATGAGATAGCTCCTCATTACATTTACTTCTCTGGGTTATTGTGAAGAAACAGCAAAGCCAAAAAAACTGCTGCTTCATCAAGTTTCACCCTTTACTTATGGCTAAGATTTATGGATCACTACAGAGACAACAAGATCCTAATACAAGGGAACAAACTTCTTCAGCAGGGTGGTAAGGTTTAGACTTAGAAATAAGACAAGAAGCCCTGCTAAACTGAGTCACATGAGGATGTGTTGCCATTAGATCAGCCCTACAAAGGAAATAACCCAGGATTTCTGGAAGATTAGACCCTGGAGAATAACCCATCTGCTTTCATCTGGTGGATAAATCGGTATAAGAGAAATAAATCTGTGGGAGAATGATCAGAGGCTGGTTTTAAAATGCTGGCATCAGCCATAGATCAAAATTCATTAACATGGCCTGCTGGAACACAGTAATGGCTGTTATGTAAATGATTTACATAGGGAAATCCTTAAAGAAACCCTGTGAGAAGAGTATTCGGTTACTATACTTCTATATTCTAAAACTAATGCATTTCTAAAACATCAGATTTAGTCTGATGTGTGTTCAAGTCAGCAGCTCATCAGTAAAAGCTCACCCTCCTCTCTGTAGTAGGTTTTGTCAGATGATGGTTTAGATTTCTTCCCTTTGGCCATGGCTTCCTTCAGCTTCTTCACATACAAATTCCTGGTGCTTTCTGTGAGGGAACAAACATTACATACAGGATATTAGGAATATCATTCAACCAAGAAGTCAAATCCCAGGTAGAAACTTCCCACAGACGGAGGGAACGACAGTGGGGGGGCCTGTGAGGTTCAGACACACTGACGGTTAATCACACGCTGCTAACTTCACTCACCGACCACAGGTCCGTGTTTGATCCCGTACTCATCTAGCAGCTCGCTGATTTCCTGCGCAGACATGTTACTCAGCGAAGCCATTTCTACCTATTTTTTTAATAGATTCTGTCTTTAGTTCCGACACAGTTTCTGTTTACACAAAAAAGAAAATCCAGCGGGCTCCTCCTACATACTAAAGCTAGATTTTAATGGCAGCTCGCCGCGGTGAACATTCCTGCTACTTTTCGAATCCTAGCCCCGCCTTTTCAGATTGGTCTCAGACCGAAAACAAGCGCACTTTCAGTTAAACAGAGTATCACTTCCGGTTTTGCTTGTTTTCAGACTCGAAGCAGCGCCACCACCAGGCAGATATGAGTAATGTATAGTGTAACAAAGTAAAGTCAGTAGAAATAATCTAATAATAATATCAGGCAATTTTTTTATTCACAAATTAATCTCTTTTTTAAGAAAATGGTTATGGAAACCAAACTATTTAAATAACCTATTCTTTAAGCGTTAGACAACTGTTAACACATGTATACTGTTTGTCAATGAATACATATATTTAGGTTTTCCTTTTTTCACTTGTTTGCTCCCTTTATATTGGCTGTATTTGCTAAAACCAGCCAATCAGCTTTGTCCCTGCACCTCTTATGAAGTCATCCAGCTGCAGCATAATTAGTATTTTCTGTGATTTTTAAAAACTTTTATTTAATTTTTTTTGTAAAGTTGGGTTGTGGAAATCCTTACTTAATTACCAAACAGTTTAAATTCTCATTTTACATGTGGAGTGATTGATTTTACTTGAAAAGCTTCATATACTGCAGAAACTCAGTGTAATTTCAAGAACAAAAATATTTTATTGTATCTGTGTTTGGTTGAACAGCATTTATGTTTTAATTGCAACAAGATTACTGCACGTCAAAAAAACAAACCAAAAAATCAATTAATTTGTACAAACTCATCAACAGGTAACCTAACCTTTAACACATAAACATAAACGAGTATCCTGTAGCTTAATCTAGTGACAAATTCTGCTTAAGTATCTGGTAAGTCACATTTTACATTTAAGCATTTTTCATATAAAAGCTTTAAAGATAAGAATGTGTGTATATATACAGGGCATTTCATCATTTTTTATACAGCAGTTTCTCATCTTATTATAACAATAAATGTAAGATAATGTAGCCAAAATTAGTTTCTAAAAGAGGAAAAGCTCTCTGAGCCACTCAGGTCGGTCTGAAGTCAGCCAGAACATCAGGACTCCTGTCACCGCCGCCGCTCCCAACGCCGCAATCAGCTTTACTGGGCTGAGAGACTGAGAGAGCATAGGACAGTGATATAGAATATAGCCTAGAAAGGAGACACCTTCATTAAAGATCTGTGGGTACATACACACCTTGCGTGTTTCTTTGCAGGTCTGTGAGTTATCAATATCTGCAGGCTTCTCTTCATGCTGAATGATCGGAGGATCACACACAGGTTTTATCTTCAGCTCTTCTTCAGGCTCCTGTGGTTCCTTGGTACAGACAAATCCCTCCATGTTAATCATGTTAAGCAGACTTAATGCAACTTGCCATGCTACAACCACATATACAAAAGTGTGTTGTTGCTGCCTTCTAATAGAAATTAAATCGGAACCTTTAGTGCACCATTGAGCAACATGTATTTATTTCATCAAAACCTTCCCATTGCTTCCCAATCTTTTCCAGATTCTAACTATAGTTTCTGAATTCTCCTTTTTTTACACTGAAATTAAATAAATCACAGATGGAGAAGGGGAGCTTTCAAGACAGTATTCACAGGGCCAGTTCAGCTCCTGTCTTTTGGATTGGCTGAGATAGTTCCTCACTAAGTTACTAACTTCATGTAGAAGGTATATTTAATTCTGGTGCTTTGAATCAGGGCTTCTAAAACAAGGAGGACATCAGCAGTTGTCTTTAGAGGCCACTGTCTGTCGCATAAAATCCTACTAAACTACATCTAAAAGTTGAAAGATAATCTCTATAGTGAGATCTGGATCTACTCATTAAGTGGAATGAGTCCATGAAAACCTCCAAAGGAAGACTCCAACGGGACATGCTGATTCGATCCCCCAACCACTTCAAATAAGTCCTTTCAATATGGAGAAACAGCAGATCTACTCTGAGCTCTCCTAGATGTTGGAGCTCCTTAATATTTCTTTAAAGGCTGATTTATACTCAGAAACCAGGTCGTCTGCATTTGTGTTGCAGTGAAATCCCAAAACATAGAGTTGCTTTCCCAGCGAGGCTGCAAAGTGGTATTCCACAATAAGTACTGTATACTCTCCAACCTCTTTTTTATAACGTCAGAGATCCATAGAGAACAGGTTTAGGAGATCCTTAAAGTGCTCCATCCATCCCCCTATGATGCCAATCCCCACCCAAAAGCATATATAGCCTGTTATGGCCCCCATTTCCACTTTTCTGAGGTAGTCGTCTCACCTGGTAGTCCGGTAGACTTGAACTATTAGTTTCGATTAGGGACCAATAAGGGTTCAGATTTTCATCTGGTGTTGTTTCCATTCCATGCATTTTGTCAAACCGAAACAAACCTTTGCAGTGGTTGGTGAACAACACAAAAAGACTTCCTAGTGCCTGAAAACAAAACATAATGGAATGGCAAAATTTTTGCAAGTTTGCCAGAAAAGTATCTTTCAACCTGGGCTCAGCATGAGAGAAAAACAAGATAGACGACCACAGAGCGTTTTCACTCCAGGCAGGTGAGACAGCTCCAAATGAGGTGGTGAGATGTGAGAAGTGGCACAGTCGACTTAATTGCAGTGATGTCAAGACTGCACAGATGTCCAGAAAGGTACTTCTTTATAACCTAATTTGTGTTATCACTTAATTTCAGTAAAATGACAGATTTTAGAGCGGCCTCCAATGCGCTTGGAGCTCACATCTGTATGCCTACCGTGCCAGAATTCATTTCAACCGAGTTGAGACATTGGGTTTTCAGTTGGATCTGATTCTACATTTATTGACCTGCATCACAGTTCAATTGCACATTCATACCTCTCTAAATGAACTGAATTTTCTGGCCAAATGAACTGTTGTTTGATTAAAGCGGACAGGGCTGGTGTGAATGTTTTTTCATAAGTTCCTCAAGGCCAAAGTTGGTGGTTTTAACATAGAAAATATAAAAAAATAACAATCATTGATTTTACATGATTTTGTCTGAACTGTTTTGTTGCATGCACTGCGTGTGAAAATGAAAATCTACTTACATCAAATTGTACTGGAGAGCCGTTATCCTCCTCCCCGTCTGAGTCGGTGCTGAGGGAGTCTCTGTCACTGCTGAGAGACATCAATCAACCACAAGCTTTTTTACATTGGATCCATCAGGCTGGAATTTACAGATCTTTGCAGAAATGGCTGAATTTAACCTACCTGTCAGTATCATAATAGTTCACTTGAGATAAGGGCTCTGCACAAAACTGAACTTTGATCTGCCTCTCTGAAAACATGCACATTAGGAGAGTGAGACATTTACATGCACTTTATTTGTCTGTGTCCTGAATACTGACCTTCTCGTCCGTTCTCGTCATCGCTGTCGTTGTAGAACTTTTGGAAGGCTTCAATTCTCTGCTTCATCTGTTCAAAGTTCCTCCTCTCTTCATATTCATCCTCCTCCTCCTCCACCTCCTCCTCCTCCTGCCCGTCCTCGGGGAAGTTACTGGGTTCTTCGTTAAAGAAGAAGCTGTCGTCGATGGATCCGTGGATGAATGGACTTCCGACTTTCATTTCTTCTCTCTGCACTGCGGAGTAGGTGTTACCATCTTGTTCTGGATGCTGATTTATATCTGAAGGGGGTGAATTTGTGTCGTCTGCAGTCTGCAGGTATTCTAACAGAAAGTTGTTGGTTTCTAATACATCTGACCCTGAAAGAGCTGATCTGAGGAAATCAGCTGAATCATATCTGTCATTCCTGGTGTCATCAGTGTCGCTGCCACTGTGAAACTTAAAGTCCTCCAGTTTGGTGTCTTCTTCAAGGTAAAGGGTCCTTGACTTATCTGAAAATACATCACTGGTTCGTCTCAGTGGCTCTTCCTCATCACTGGAGCTGTAAGAGTCACTCTCACTTGTTTTATCCTCATCATCAGAGCACGTCACACTCAACAAATGATCGTTTTTTTTCTCATCTTCTTCTCTAACTGTCTCATCTGATCCTATTATCTTATCGGCATTCATCTCCATGTCTCTGCTGAACAAGAACTCTTCTTCCTCTCCGTAATCAGCCTTCTCAGATGTTTCGGTCCAAAGGCTTTCTGTAACGGTGCTTTCCAGGTATTTTCCCTCCCCCGGCTGAGGAGAGGCTCTTTGTGCGTTAACTGGGTTTCTAGCATATTCAGTAGAGGAAAAGTCTGAGGGATACTCTGCAAAGCTCTCACCTGCCTCCTGGTGCTCCTCACCTGTAAAGTCTGACATTTTCTCATTGTAAACTTCACCATCTACTTCAGAAATGAGATCCTGCAGATTCTGGAAAGATATGGAGGGAAACTCCAAACCAGAATCTGCAGGATCTGCATTGTGTGGATTTTCTTTTTCCTCAGTATGAATGTTTTCTTCTTCAGTTTTCATGTTTTCATACTCGGATTCAGAGGAGTCCTCTTCTCCGTCTACTTCCTCCTCCTCTTCCTCCTCCTCCTCTTCCTCCTCACTTTCAGCACTTTCCACTGTCTTCTCATGTCTGCATTCAATGTCCTCTTCCTTGTCACTGTCCACCTCTTCTTGGTTTGTGTCACTATCTTGAAGTTCATCAGAATCCTCAGAGTCTTCATCATCAATGATCCCATCCTCCTTTTTGAAATCACAGACATCACTGCTATGTATCGACATCAGTGTATCATCTTCTTCCTCATCTCTCTCAGCCCCCTCCTCTTTTTGTTCTTCTTCACCTTCAGTGCTTGTGTTTTCACCCTCCAGGGTTTTACTGCTTAAACTGATCCCTTCTAAATCCTCTTCACTGTTTTCCTCATCAGACTGCTCTTCATAAGCATTCTCCTCCATGTTTAGTGCATCTGCAAGGGGGCCCTCTGACAAAGCTGCAACTTCTGCAGTTGCTTCCTGAAGCTGAGTCTCCTCTGCCTCCGTCGTTAGGTTTTCTGCCTGTTCCTCCTCACTCTTCTCATCAAAACATAAATTCTCAAAGTCCAAATCTCCCGTTGAAAACGATGGAACTGAACTGTCTGCAAGAAGAAAAATATGTTGACCAATACCCTAAAACTTAGAGAACATTTTTTTAAAATCAAAAATATGTTTTCACCTGAAAACGCATCAGTGAGGAGATCAGCAAAACCCTCCATCTGAATGAAAACACAAATCAACCGTACACCAAGAATTATAGGAAGAATGATTTAAATTTGCAACAGACAGTCTCTCCTCTAAAAAACAAAGACAGTAACTTTCTTCAGCTTTGGCTGCAAGTGGCTTCCTGTCGAACAGACCGAACATAAATTCACACAAAACCACTGAAAGATTAGCTGAAAATTAATGCCAAGAGCTATATACTTTAAATAAACTCACCATAGATGATGAAGAAGAGGGAAAAAAATCTTTTTGGCTTCTGTGCAAAGTGAATTTTTTAAACTGTTGTTGTGTTTGTCTGTAGCTGCACAAGTACCTTCATGAGCTCATGAAATGATGTCAGCTTTGATGTGGGTTTGGTGTCAGAGGCACGACTCAAACTCCGGCAGATGAAAACGAAGGGGTGCTTCATGCAAAAACATTGTTCCCTGGCGCCACTGCGATGAGTGCAATGCCACTCTGATTAGGAGTGAGACTAAAAATACCAAAACTATAAGAGGATTTTTTTCTTGATTGTTTTATTTTAATTAAAAGAAAGCAACAATTAAAGTGTTCATTTAAAATATGCTTAAATAAAGATGGTCTGCATTGATCTACAGCTCGTTGCGGAGTAGGTAGCGATGAGTGGGTTTCAGGTCAACTTCAACAGGAAAATGATCGCTTACTTCAAGAGCCTGAAATGACAAAGTAACATGAATATCATCATAATACAAGCAGGATCAAGTTAAAATCCTTTATTTGCCATACATACCTCTTGCTCTGTGAGATGGAAATTCTCCTTAAAGTTAAATACTTGAGCTGAACCAGGAACCACACCAGAAATAATCTCCTGCCCGTGAACAATAATCCTGCGTGGAAAAACATTGCAACAGCCTATTTTATCTGGTATTAATGGTAGCCATCAGACAAAGAAAATACAAGGCTTTCAGATAAGGTTTCCATCATGACTTTCACTGAAGCTAAAATAATGTTTAATTCCCCTGATGATAAGAGAATAATCTTAGAAATATAACCAGTAAGAATCAGATGTATTTAACATGATTCATTTTACCAGGCTTTGGTTACGAAGTTTTATCCATAATGTGGCTAAAATCTACATTTTGATTATCTATGTTCTAACGATCTTTAGAGTTCCTTGAGAGTTGTTTTGATTTGATGTTCCAGATTTGATTTTCTAATGTTATCACCTTGGGTCTGGATTCCAAAGAAAGGAACCACCAAACATCCAGGCCCTGTGCCAGTTTAAAAAAGCTGGGGCCCCCTGGAAGGAGGACCTTGGGGCGAGCTCAAACACATATTTTGACATGTGACAGCATCACATGGAAATAAGTCTTCTAATGATAACCCATCATTTTCCTACTACTTCCTGTTGTCTTCTTCTCTATTAGTAATCCTGTTGCTGATCAGTTGATGTGAAAAAAGTGTTTTCAATGCTTCCAAAACCTCCTCATCATAGAGCAATATGTTTAAATTAAAATTGGTGTTTTTCTGTTATTTATTTTCACATTTGATGATCGATGGACAAACAGCTGTTGTTACTTTCTGGTACAGAGCTGCCTGGTGCTCAAATGCTCTTCATTAAATTTGCTGGTTTCTCTCTCAAACATTCCCTTTAAACTTAAGTCTTGTGAACTTAAGCCCTAATATTCTCAGGCTGAACTTAGCCCCAAGAATCATTGTTAAGCATTTTGTTTGCTGCTAGTTATGCAGAGTTTGTACGTCAAGGGGAGAAGAACTGACCAAAAATGTTATTACACCCAAAGCACTAATGCATGTCTCTTGAAATCTAATAAGCTGCCAAATGCTTTAGCAATACTATGTTGCAAACACTCATATTACAAATATGACTTAATATATAATGGAGCTCAACATTTTGTTTAAAAGTGAGAAAGAGAGATAAATGCTTCGATGAGGTCAGATCTTTGTAGAGCTCTTGGTAGTTAATTTTTTAATGAACAAATGCTTTAGACTGCATTATGATGGAGCTGGTACTGATAAATCATATCTCATTAGATATCTTTTATGTATGCCTATAATAGATTTATACACAAAAGAAAAATCTATGTGTAAGTTTGAGTTTGACCTGTCATAGGCGCACCGAGTCCTCTCTCTGACTGTCGTGTCTTGTTCGTCTCCTATTAGCCAATGAAATTTGGGGTTATTCCTCAGACGCACAGCTTTCCACCCTTTAATGGTGACATAGTTGCAGCCGGCATTTAGGTCTCCCAGGATGATCACATTCTGGTGGAATTTCAAAAAGAAGCAAGCGGAGGAAGTATGAGAATAGTAATGAACTGCATGCATATAAAAGATAAACCAACCATGTTTTTGATACAAACAGAACAGAATTATTGAGCGACGTGGCTGATAACAGAAGAGTTTGACCTACGTCCGTTTTCCACTTCTTGTGAATCTGTTTGACGACACCGTAGAGCTCATCAATCTCCTTCATGGCTGATTTAGGACAAGTATGCTGCCCAATCAGGACAAAATCCTTCACCACTGAAAAAGAAACTACATTTAATAACAAGCTTACCTCAAAGCACCACATATATTTCCAAACATTGATTAATCTTTCTACAAATATCAAGTTTTCTCTCTGAATGAACTCTGCTCTGTTATCCCTTTATATCTTTATATACTCTATCCAAACAGACCTAGATCTACTGTATGTATGTGCAAATGTAACCACCCTGTTAATAAAATATGATATATATATATAAAGATATCCCTTAAAAACAGTGTGTCAGACAACATTAAGTAGTCATCAAATGAGGCAATGGTAATATGATAACCTGGGGCTGCTTTGCTGCTTGAGGACTTGGAAGACCTGCAGTAACTTATATAGGGAATAATTTCTGCTCTGCTCCTGAAACTCTCTTTGGTTTTGCAGCAGGAAAATTATCCTAATCAAACCAGCAAGTCCAATGTTTCACTCAGAGAGTCACATGAAGGCAAAATTAAGGTGATGAAATGGTTTAGTCAAAGTTTGGTAGATGGAGGAGCGTGACTCTAAACAGGTGGTTCAAACTCAAACATTGAATATTTAAACTATTATGCCTTAGTGGTAATATTAGTAAATACTGCAACGGGCTCCTATTTCCCAGATTTCATGAGCTGATGTGTTACTTACATGTAGTGGGGGACTGAACGCGGATGACAAAAGGCTCCCTGGAAAAAACTTCAGTCTCATTGGTTCCCTCTGCCTCCAGTTTAGGATGTTGGAAGTGCTCTTTGATCGTCAGCATGTTCTTCCTACAGCTCACAGAGGAGATGCATGTGAGCATCTCTCCAGTACCAAGCTTGTTCAAAGAACCTGGCTTAGATCAAATCAACTGAATCACAATAAATTCAGTTTGACTTAAATCATTGCTCACCTGTAAATGTAGACGTATTGTTCTTTGTAGGTCTTCCTCCCAAGTCTTTCACTTTCCACGTAGGAATAGGAGTTGGATTTGTCGAATCTGTAGGCAAACATAATCAGGATATCAATGTGACAGCTTTCTTCCAGATCTCAGATTACAGATTCTCCAGAAAATCAAAAGTCTGTACCTATTCAGATCCTTAACCAAAGCTTTTATTGCTTCTCCTTTAGAGTCTCGGACCTCCTGAATGAGGCACAAGTCGCACCGAGAAACAATCTTGAGGACATAATTAAAGAATTTGTCAAACGCTTGGTTTTCCTCACGTTGATGCAGAAGTTGCTGTAAACTCAGACCAGATTACAGGTACCTTCAGTAGAAGACCCATGACCCTTTTGTTGTTTGCCTTTGATTCACCAAAACTCTGAACATTGAAGGCACAGATTTTCAGAGAGGATGTGACACCGAACACACACAGCCCAATAAATAGAAGAAGCCCGGCTATCCTCATCTTGCAGACGTGTGAGGCTCTGTAATTTAAAATGGAGTAAATCCAGCTGCAGAAAGAGTCACAGAATCTTCAGAGCGATGCTCAGGACCCCTGCTTACCTTCAGGGAGATGATCACCAGCAGATGGACCTTAGGCCAGCAGAGATCCAGCTCTGCACTGAACAGTTGTTCATTTTGGGGAACATACAGGTAAATGTGGCTTTGAAAGACAAGGGCTGTGTGCTGGGGATGTGCTGAGTCAGTGAATTCTGAGAATGGAGCTTCATCTGGAACAGTTAGAACAACTACAACATAATGAACAATGGGACAGGAGCATTGAGGGCCGTTTGTCCCTAAAGTCTGAGCATTATCAGACAATAGAGGCTGCTGGGTGCTACATCTATTAGCTTCAGGAACAATTGCATGGAATGAGCCATAAGCACAGCCAGAAGTTACCACATAATACTGAGACATCTTCAAAAAGAACAATTATTATTATTTAACCCTTAGTCAACTGAAACTTTTACTATTCAACAAAACTTGAATTTTTTTTATTAAATTAAATAAAAAATAAATTTAAAGTGATGGCATTGATAATATAACCACACAATTTCTTTATTACAAATATATATACTAACATATTATGTATATGTATATATTAATAAATAAAATAAGTAACAAGCCTGATAGAGCTGCCGAACTATACAGTTTTTTTTTT